AGAGACCATTGCGTACTTGCTGAACAGGAGTCCAACGAAGTCAGGCTGAAACGACGTCATATGAGATATGGACAGGGAAGCATCCCACGTTGTCGTTTGTCAGAATTTGGGGTTGCAACACTTACGTGAAGCGTCAGATGACTGATAAGTTATCCTCCAAATCTGATAAGTGTTTATTTGTAGGTTACCCTAAGGAAACTAAGGGTTACTACTTCTATATTCCGGCTGAGAACAAGGTGTTCATTGCCAGGAATGCGACTTTTATGGAGTGAGAGTTCGTCTCCAAAAGAGTCAGTGGGAGTAGGATCGAACTTGAGGAAGTTCGAGAGTAGCAAGTAGACGCTGAGCCGAGTGAACAAGTTGAAGACGTTCAACCTGATTCACTGCCGGTTGTGACTCAACCTTTGACGAGTGAACCTCGGAGATCAGGCAGGATTCGCCAAGAGCCTGTGAGATACGGATTTCTCATGACTGGGAATGAGGAGCTCATGTTATTGGAACATGATGAGCCTACCACATACCCAGAGGCTATGGCGAGTCCGGATTCCGAGAAATGGCGCGAGGCTATGAAGTCCGAGATGCAATCCATGTCAGACAACCAAGTATGAACTCTGGTTGATGCATCTGAAGGGATAAAACCCATAGGATGCAAGTGGATCTTCAAGAAGAAGACCGACATGGATGGCAACGTGCACACGTATATAAGGCACGACTTGTGGCGAAGGGATTCCGTCAAATTCATGGTATTGACTATGATGAGACCTTTTCGCCTGTAGTTATGTTGAAGTTCATCAGGATCCTACTTGCCATAGCCGCATATTACGACTATGAGATATGGCAAATGGATGTCAAGACCGCGTTCCTTAACGGGAACTTGACCGAGGATGTGTACATGACACAACACGAAGGTTTTGTCGATCCAAGGAACTGGAGGAAGGTGTGCAAGCTTCAGAGGTCCATTTATGGACTGAAGCAGGCTTCGAGGAGCTGTAACCTTCGCTTTGATGAGAAAATCAAAAGGTTTTGTTTCTCACAGAATGAAGACGAGCCGTGTGTTTACAAGAAGGTCAGTGGGTGCACAGTAGTATTTCTAGTGCTGTACGTGGATGACATTCTCCTAATAGGAAATGACGTTCCTACCTTGGAAGACATAGTCTTGGCTAGGAACGCAGTTTTCTATGAAGGACCTAGGAGAAGCGGCTTATATTTTGGGCATCAAGATCTATAGAGATAGATCGAGGCGTCTTCTAGGATTGTGTCAGAGTACTTACATCGATAAGATCTTGAAACGGTTCAAGATGCAAGATTCCAAGAAAGGAACCTTACCGATGAGTAGTGGCACAGTTCTCTGCAAGAGTCAGTGTCCTACGACACCTGATGAGCGAGAACGCATGGATCGGATTCCATATGATTCGGCAATTGGATCCATCATGTATGTCATGCTTTGTACTCGACCGGATGTATCTTATGCGTTGAGCATTACGAGTAGATACTAGTCAGATCCAGGTGAGTCACACTGGATCGCTGTCTAGGACATTCTAAAGTACTTGAGAAGGACTAAGGATGTGTTCTTGGTATACGGTGGGTCGGAAGACGAACTCGCTGTAAAGGGTTACACCGATGCTATTTTCTAGTCAGACCCGGATGACTACAAATCGCAGTCTGACTATGTTTTCTGCTTGAACGGATGAGTTATTAGCTGGAAGAGTTCCAAGCAAGCGACCGTTGCAGATTCTACTAAATAAGCTGAGTATATTGCAGCGTCGGACGCAGCAAAGGAAGCTACTTGGATCAGGAAGTTTGTTGGAGATTTGGATGTCATTCCTAGTGTTGATAGCCCCATTGCTCTGTATTATTACAACAATGGAGTGATCGCACAAGCGAAAGAACCCAGATCCCATCAACGATCCAAACACATACTCAGACGATTTCACCTTATCAGAGAGATCATAGACAGAGGAGACGTGCACATTTGCAGAGTTTCGACAAATGACAACATTGCCGATCCGTTGACGAAGTCTCTCCCTTCGTCGAAGCATGAGAGTCATGTTAGGGATATGGGCATTAGATGTTTAGCAGTCCATGATTAGAGCAAGTGAGAGATTGTTGGTTTAGTGCTCTATGATGTACTGTTTTGCGAGCTTTATTTATAGATACATTTGATGTATTGACATTTTCTATGGTTTTATGGAGGAGTGTTTGATTCACTACGTATTGTACATACTTGATATGTTATGAAATCCATGTATTGTTATGAACAATACTAAACTCCCTAGTCATATATCATTATGGGAATAATGATATACCAAGACTAGTATGATGTGTGATTGATGATCATATAGATGATCATATATATCGGATACGATCACAATCATAGGTATTCGTTGGAGAACGGAATACTGGATTGACCTGTATGAGATTGTCACATGGACTAGCGTTATGACTTGAATCTCATATGACGGTTCCATGATTGGATCCTAAGACCTGAGATATCTACGGAATCCAACATGAGGAGTTGCGTGCCTTGAATACGTCAAACGTCCTGCGTAACAGGAGGACTATAAATACGTGTATCAGGTACGAAACGAATCATGTGCTGGTTTGTAGATAGTCAAGACGGGATTTGTATCTCTCGTAAAAGAGAGAGATATCGCTGGGCCCCTCATGTGAGCGAGACTGTAGAAATGTGTGGTCGCATTATATACGAACGTCGTCTATTTCATACAGTCAAACTCAGTGAACGAGAAAGCAGTCGAATCAGATAAGGTGGCTTGTTCATGCCTTATGTTCGACATATGATATCGCGATACAAAAGGATCATCA